GCAGCCTCGCAACCCAGCGCTCAACCGCTGCGCCACCAGGGGAGGAGGCCCTTCCCCATAAATTCTTGAAGAGCAAAAAGAGCAGCAGACCCAGCCAGGCAGGCCTTGCCAGAGACGGGGCTCCTCACCCCAATCCACCCTCCACCTCCACGTACAAACCAGGACCAACCTGCCAGGGGCCATCCGTCAGACAGGATGCAGGGCGCTGTCCAGCCCTGGCTGGGGCATCCCCCACCCTTCCCACACTCTGGAAGATGCACCACTGTCTGCAGTTACTTGACTAATTTAGACACATAAACAAAACGTGATATTCTGCAAACCTGGAGTGACCAGGCCCACAAAATGATTTACTTTGAGCCATCTGAATTACAAATGCAAAAACAAAACAAAACAAAAAAAAACCTGGAAACCCTTTTTACAATGTCTTTGAATGGAAAATGGAACTTGAACAAACACTGATGCTTCTAGGGGGCTGCCAGATTTATTTCCCACTTCCCCCAAAGGTCACTGGAAATAATCATATTTTCCTGTGAATCTGTCTGTTAGGATGAAGCAAAACATTTCAGCCCCCCAATGAGGCACTGCCTTTGGGCCAAACACTCCTTCAAGAAAACAAACCCAAAGCATGGGAAAGGCGCAGGGAAAAAGGCAGTTAAAATGTCTAAGCTTCCCTGTGGTGTTAACAAGACTAAACAAAATTATGGGTTGAGATAAAACAGAACCAGCACCTCTATCGTACGAACACCGGCCTCCAGCACGTGTCCGGAAGGACGCAGGCTCCGGGGCCAACAGACCGGGACAAAGCACCCAGCTTCCCGGCCTCCCGCTATGTGGCCTTGGGCCAGTGACTTGGCCTCTCGGAGCCTCAGCCGCTTCAGCCGCAACTGCAGGGTGGCTATGAGAATCGAATCAGAGGGTGTATGCAAAGCCCCTGGCCCCTCGCAGGCCTCCAACAGCCAGTGGACACCGCCATTGTTCTCGGGACACTTTGCACCCATTTGGGCTGAACCCAGCCACACCAACTTTTCATGGTCCTGAATCTCGGGAGCCGTGGGCACCAGTGCAGGAGAATCTGTTTCTTTGTTTCATGGAAGAAGGAAAAGAGGCCGCGCTGTCAGGAGCTAACCTGCTCCCGCATTCTGGGGTCAAACAGGCTGTTTACCTACATGGTTTGTGTTCCCCTCCTGCGAGGGCGCAGAGGCCCATGAGGGCTGTTGTAGGCGCTGTTGTTTCGTGACAGTCCTGCCTGGCCAGGCCGAGCTGCCCCCGCGCCCCCCCATGCCAAAGGCAGCTTCCCGTGCAGCCCCCACAGCAGGAGGGGAGAAGAACCGTTAAAGAAAGGGGGGGTGCCCCTCACACTTCTCCGTAACCCCTGACGTGATGTGAAATTCTACAAGGTAGACCCTTTGAAATGCAAAATCTTCCAGAGTCCTTCAAATGTGTTTTTATTTTCTCGGGTTCCTAAGGCTGCTTTCAGACCCACCCATCAGCATTTCCCCTCTCAATCAACCCACATTTCACACACACACACACACACACACACACACACACACACACACAAAGGAGGAGTGGGAGGAGGCTGCAGCAAGAATGACTCTGTTTTTTGAAAAAGCTCAAGTATCTCCAGTTGCTGTGAGGGAAAAAAAAAATGCTGTCCGCAGCTCCAGCCTCCTTGCAACCCTCTTCCCAACACCCCCAAGCCAAGTTTCCTCTGGAAGATTTCCTCCCAATCAGACCAGGCACTAACAGCTGCTGCTCGGGATCTCGGCGAGCTTTCTAAAGGCGAGAATCGGGGTGCCCTCTGACCCTAGTTCGGTGAGGTGAAGACAAGGCCCCACCAAAACCACAACCTGCAATTTTCCAAGCCTAAAAACCTTGATCCAAAACTGCGCGCACAGGAGGTTTGGATTAAACATCAAAGAAGAAGTTACCTTAAAACAAAGTTGGTTGGCAAAGAAAATTACTTCACCCTAAGAAGAACCCTGGGGGACGGTAAATTGCTTTTGAATATAGACTTTTCAGTGGCGAGGTCATTAATCATGTCGATGTAAACTTCGCTAAGACAAAAAGTCTCTAAGCCGGTCCCGGGGCACACAGCATCTCCAAGCCGCGGGGTGAGTTTCCAAAGTTCACGTCCCAGCTATTACAGCGCCGTCCCCGACCTTGGGCCATAATAAAGGTGACTCAGGCTCGTAGAAAGAACCCTCATAAAGTTAGGCAGGAAACAAACAGAAATTAATCAGAGAAAGAGAGTCAATGGCTTCGGAAAGTGTATTCACAGGGCGAGTTTAGACAGCGACTCTCCGGGGATGGTCGGGCATTTCAGAAAGGGGTGAGGGAGGCAACCTTCCCGCACACCCGAGTCTCTCGGCCAGGCCTGTTCTGCAGGGCGGAGGACAGGGCAGCAGCTGGACCAGCCCACGAGGAGAGTGGAGCCCAGCCGAGCTAAGCTGCGCTGAGCCGGGCCAGACCCGGCCATGTGCTTCGTGTTGGCAACAAACCGGTTCTTTCAAGAGGGAGAGCCTGACAAAATGGACAGCTGCAGCACAGGGAGAGGCAGAACCTCGGAGAAGCCCCAGGTTGGCCATTCTGCCCTCAAGTGAGAAAAAAAATAATTGCGAGAGCAAGTTCACGTTCGAAAGGGTCCCCCTGGCTGGATCAATTAAAGAGATCCCCTCCACATCTGGTTTCCATCTAAAACCGAAACTTGTATTATCAGCATATTACATAACAAATTGTGCCTGCAGGTTTCTTTTATTACACATCAGAGAGGTGTGTGTGGTGGAGGTAACGCCGGGGGCTGTGCTGGTCTGAGCATTGGCTTGTTTTGGTCTTTGCATTTTTTCAAGGGCAGGAACAGAAAGTTTTCCGCACGGTGCGCAATTCGAAAAAGTCACCCTGCCCCGGATGGAACAACTCAGCAGTCAGGCGGTGGGTCCGAGCTGTCTTGGGGCCCAAGGCATCCAGCAGCGGGTGAGGAGGGCCTGCCTGTTAAAGAGCAAGGCAAAGGCACACCAAACTGCTCCAAGGCGTCCTCTGCTGCCAGCTGCCCGGCCTTGCACCAGGCCCCACCTCTGCAGCCTCAGCGCAGGGGGGGGAGAGCTGGCTGGCCTGGCCTGGCTTGGGCCATAGGTCAGGTACTTGCTCCCTGGACCCACTGAAAGATGCCCGGCCCAGCTGGCTTCTACAGAACCAGGGAGATGGTGAGGCCAGGGTACAGTGAAGAAACCAACGGGGGGACAGGGAAAGAGCACAGGAAGTAACAACAGGGCCCCCCTAAAATGTCAATTAAAAGAAGCCACCGGGATGGCAAGGAGAGATCTCAAAGCTCTTCCCAAGAGACCTTTATGAACGTCCCCGGGGCGACTCTGGGTGACACAGCCTGAGCCGAAGCTGAGAAGGGGGACAAGGACGGAAAACAGCGTCCCCCGAGCCAGGCCATGCCCTCCCCGTCCTGCTGGCCGGAGCACATTCATCTCCACTTCTGCAGAACTTCTATGTCAACTTGTCTTCCACGCTAAAGTGACTGCACATCAAGGGCGCCGTCCCAGGGGGGGAACAAGAAGTCCTCGGGCAAACCGATTTCACTGGTCTTAAAACCCCCTGCTCTCCAAAGACGCACGAGGGAGAGAAAGAGAACCTCTCCCAGGCCTCTCCGCGCTCCGGACGGGACAGCGGGACAGCAGGGCAGCAGGCAGCCCGTCCGCAGGCTGCTCGGCGATGCGGGGCGCGCGGGCGAAGGGCTGCCGCTCCCGCAGGGAGGACCCCAACTCCTCTAACCTGGGCGAGTCTACTGGAAACTGCACCCCGCGACTGTTTGCTTATCCGGGTGTCCAGAGCTGGGGGGGGGGGCCCACACCTACAGACTTGCAATTCAGTGTCAACACTGTAACTGAGGCAAATTACTTCTAAGTGGATAAATTAAAATGAAACCAAAATCTGGCCCAGCCAGGAGCTGTGCGCTTCGTGGGCTCTGCTGACTCGGTGCCCCCCAAGGCGCCAGCCAGGGGCATCTCTCCACCTGGAGGCCGGACCCGGCGCGAGGAGGGCCCCCCGCCCCCTCCGCCGGCGGGACCCGGCGGGGACACCCGCGCGAGCGTGTCGTGGGCGCCCGGGACGCTCGCCGGCTCCCGGCCGCGAACAATGCGCGCAGCTCCGCGGCGGCCCCGGGCCCCGCGCTCCCCGCGGACATGTGCGCCCGCCGGCGCGGGGCCGGCCCGAGGCGGCCGGAGCGCGGCCCGGGGCGGCCGGCACCGCGGAGCCCGAGCCCGCCGGAGCCCGGGGCGGCCTGCAGGCGGCGGCCTCCCCATTCATCCGGCCGCGGGGCCGCTCTTTGTTCGCCGCCGCGCGGAGCCCGGGACGTGGGAACCGACCCCGCGGCCGGCGCGCGGAGCCGGCTCGGGGCGCCCCGGGACCCCGGCCCGCCGGGCCGCCCCGCGCGGCGCCCCGAGCTTTGTTCCCCGGCCCGCGGGCGGGGGGGCGCCGCGGCGCCCCGGGAGCGGGGGCAGCGCACACCGGGCGCCCCCGGACTTCGCGCGTCTCGGCGCCCCCCGCCCCGCCGGAGACGCCGCCCGGGGCCCGACCCCGCGGCCGGCGAGCCCGGGCCCGACGCCCTCGCCATGTGCCGGGGCCGCGCCGCCGCGGCCCCCGCCCCGCCCCCGCCCGCGCCCGGCGCCCCGCGCGCCCCGCTCAGCGCCCCGGCCCCGGCCCCGGCCCGGCCCCGGCCCCGGCGCCGCGCAAACTTCCGCGAACAAAGAGTTGCCCGCGGCGCTGCGGGAACTTCGGGGCCGGGGCCGCCCGCCGGGCCGGCCGGGACGCGGCCGGGACCCCGCGCAGCCCCGCGGGCAGGACCCGGCGCCGCGCCGCCCGCGCCGCCCAGTCCGCGCGCCGGGCACCGCCGCCCGCCGGGGACAGCGGCGCGGAGAAGACGGGAGCCCCGGCCCGGCCCGGCCCGGCCCCGCACCGCGCGCGCCCCGCGCCCCGCGCCCGCCGCCGCGTACCGGCTCGGGAGGAGGCGCCGCCGCTCCGCGCCGCTCGCTCGCCCTCCGCCCCGCGGCCCCGCGCTGCCGCCCGCCGCCGCCGCGCGCGCGTCACGGTCCGGCTCTGCGGGCGGCGCCGCGGGCCCGGCTCGGGCGGCGGCGGCGGGCGAGGGCGCGGAGCGCGCAGCCGCCGGTGGGCGGGGAGTGGGGGGGTCGCGCGCGCGCGGCGGGGCCAGAGGGCGGCCCCGGGCCGGGCCGGGCCGGGCCGGGCCGCGCTCGCGCCGGCGGGGCCCGGGGCGCGGGGGGCCCGCCCGGGCCGGGGTCCCCCGGACGCCCCCGCCCGCCCCGCCCCGCCCCCGGCCGCGTGGCCCGCCCCGGCCCCGGCGAGCCGGGCGGGGGACGCGCTCGCGGGGCCGCGGGGGAGGAAGGTGCCGCCGCCCGGGAGCCGCGGCCGGCGCGGGCAGGACCCGCGGTTGCCAGGCAGGGGCCGCGGGCTTGGGTCTGCGGCGCGGGGTCGACTCAAGCCCGGATCGCGGCCCCGACGGGCGCACGGCGTGTCCGCGCGCCGCTCACCTGGGGCGGGGGCCGCCGCCTCCCGCTGCCCCGCCCGCTGGGCCTGTTACTTTACTGACCTTGTACCCGAAAAGGTTTTTAAAGAGCAAGTTTTTGAAAAGCGCTCCCTAGGCCCGTCTTGTGTTCGCCTTTGCCAAAAAAACAAAACACCTCATTACTTTACATGGATTGTGTCTGCGCCGTGTGAATGGTTCTATTCATAAATCAGGAAACTTTTTCTGTTGCTTCTAGGAACGTTTAATTGGTTTTAATCCAATGTTTCAATCCCAGTATCAAACGTAAATGAACAATTAACTTCTCGAGCTTGTGTGCACTTGGGAAACTATTCTATTTCGTGGCTATTGCCGAGATATTTGTTTCTTGCAGGAAACCATGACCCAGCATCTCCTTTCACATGAACTCCAGCCCCCCCAGCACCACCCCCTGCTCCCCCCCACCCGCCCCCAAGGGAGTCCTGCCGCCCACTGGGCTGGACAGCAACCGGCAGGAAGGGTGACTCTGCAGCCACTCCAGCTGACCATGTGGGAGATAATCAAGCCCCCCTAAGAGGGCCGAAAGGGGAGACCCGCAGAGCACTGAGACACTGCCGGTCTCGGCGGGGAGCACAGCCCTAACAAACCCCATCAAGGACCAACTTGGAAGAGACCAGGAAGCAACTCTCCCTGGCTGAACAAAGAAGGGTGCAGGGGCCGTCTGAGATCGCTGCAGCAGGGCCTATGCTATCTGCTGGGGCACCTCCGCCTTCCAGAGCTTTAAAATCCAGCCTGATTTACTTTCTATGAGGAGGCCCAGAGTGCCTCCTGCTGGCAGACATTCAGTTTATTCCTGCAATTACCAGTTCATGGGGTCAACTCAGAAACAAGATGCAGGGGTCCCAGGGCCTGGAAACAATTATTACAGCCATTATTCTTGTTGCTCTCAGGTTGATTTTAGTCTCACAAAATTCCAAGGACTGTGGTTATGGCAAGCTCCTTGGCTGTAACGCCTCCTTTCCAACCTAAGGCAGCCTGTTTTTCTGGTTCTGAGACTTTCTTGAGCGTATATAGAACTGAAATACCTGCTTAAAGAGTTGTGCTGCTGACCAGTATATAGCTCTATCTCACTTTCTCACATTGACTCTCCAAAGGATAAAAATATATATATGGTCACTTCACTACAGGGGCTTCCCACATTACACAATGCCCCAAAGACATAATGCCCCCCCTCCCGCGCAACTTCTCAGGACTACCCTCCATACTTTATTATAAAATATCCTTCCCAAGAGGTTGTTTATTAACATTTTGCTCAATCCAGAAGAATAAAAACTCAGTCAAATTCTGGTTAAAACAATGTAAGCTGCAATCAGGGGGGCGGGGGACTAGGCTGTCTACCTCTGCTCAATCTGAAAAGGTCAAAACCAAATCAAAACCAGATTGAGAGCACAACCAGACACCTAAACACAAATTCTGAGGCCAGTTTAGGAATAAATCATTATTAATCCAAAAATGATCCCTTGTAACTTTTCCATTACACTGACCCAAGCCACAGAACACCCTGGGAAATGCAGACTGGGGGTTCCGTACAGTCCCCCTCCACAACCAGACGTGCAACCCCAGGGCTTGCACGTGGCGGCAGCTCTCCAGGCTCTCCTCAAAGCAGCACCACCAAAGGGAGGAATGTCTGTGTGTGGGGGGTGCATCATGTGTCCAAACTGCCCAGGGGATTTAAACTGAGTGCGTTCCTCACCAGAGAATAGCACAACCATTCCAAGTTTAAAGCTCTTAAGCAAGAGGAGACAATAAAGGTGTATTTTATTAAGAAAGGGTGTAACCAACTATAACTTGTATCAACAAGCTAATAAAAGTATTCACCTAAGCACATTTGTGCAGGGGATGGAAAGGCTGGGTTTAGATATGCAAGGAGTGTCCCAGGTAGTTAGTGGGGTTTTTTTTTTTTTTTTTTTTTTAATGCCTTGAGAAGCAGATAAATGTGATGTGCAAACAACGAGGAGCTAAGCTTTGAAGTTTGAGCAAATACCAGTCAGCGCTGCTCAGCTTTTCCCATCGAGTCTATCTGTACCTACAGCTGCACAAAGAATTCACTAAAAAATGATAAACTGGTTTGTCTGAGACTGAAGTGAGTGAAATGACATCAAACAGCCCAACAGCAATACAGAGGCTGTGAGCTGCCCCTTCATTCAGTTTCCCAAAGCCACTGCCTCTTTGTCACAACTGCTGTATTTAAAGCCAGTCACTCGCATTTCACACTGTCCTTTCTACATCTGAAAAGAGCTTTTTTAAGGCACAACCTTTTAAAATTGCTTATAATAGATGATGGGAAGACAGACGTCACCAAATCCACCTGAAGTATTTTCAAGAGACTACTGAAAACAAGTGAGCAAAATACACTTCTTTGGGATGTTTTTGGTGACAGATGGAAGTCAAAAATCTGAACCTTCCATGGCAGTAATTCTTTATATAGATCTTATTCAGAAAAATAAGTTCTATAATTGTTCCCATATCTATGGCCCAGCTATATCTGACGTCCCTACCTATAAAGGCATATAGTAACACACTAATCCTTCTGCCTTTCCTTCCTGTTCTTGTGTTCTGAGACCTTTCCACAGAGGAAAGTGTGTTACAGCTCTGAGTGGGATTCCAGAGATTTCTCTCAGATACACACACACACACACACACACGTATGCATATACATACAGACAGACACAGAGAGATCTATCTGTCTATGTAACTCACATCCATAGACATCACACCTTTTTAAGAGGTACTTAGGTTCCTGGGTTACTTTTCGATTCGAGAACTCAATAAAACACATTTATTTTCATTGAAAAATAACCAGAGCGGTGAATTTAATGATACCAATCTAACTCCTTTGATACAAAATGAGAGTTGAAAGCAGCTTGAAGGGGAATGCCTATTGAAATCAGCACATGTGAATCTGCACAGCTTTGTAACTGAACGTCTAGCACCATTGAGGCACGAAGCATGCCAGCTGGGGCGGCATTGTGCGCCACAAAGTGTGGGTTGTAAGCCTAAGTCCTGAGCACAAACCCTGGCTTCCAAGTTGGCAGGTGCTGAAAACACAGCAAATGTCACGCTTGCAACTCACTGGATGGACGAGCTCTGGGTAGAGCACGCTACAAAGAACAGAGCAACAGTTAAAACTTACTCCAATTTGATATTGCTTTTTTTTGGTAAAGGGAGTAGTAGCTACTGGTGTTAAGTGCTACAAGAAAACACAAGCAGAGAAAAGACATTGGAAAGATGAGGCATGGCAAGTAAGCAAAATTTAGTACAATGAAGGCTTTTTACTATCATGCTCAAAGTTACTGGCATAAAATTTATCAAACCTATTTTACTATTTTAATACTAAGATCAAAAGCACATTTAATGCCTGGCCTTTCCCTGCTCTATTTCTGACCCTCGTGAAGGAGACGCGAATTAGTTTACGGTAACATGGTCGAACCTGGTTCGCTCCACCCAAATCATAGCTAATCGCAAGTATAATATTTTTATTCTGTTATACGTTGACTTTAATCCAGATACAACTGCACTCCTAGACTAAAAACTGATATTATCATCCTCCAATGAAAGCCATTTCAATTTTTTTTCTTAACTATTCTTTAGTGGAATTCAGATTAAGTATTTGAGATACAAGCCCAAAATTTAACTTAATTTTTCCCCTCTGTCAACTATCTGCCATATAAGTCACTGCCTCAAGAAAAATCTATTTTTAACTCATCCCTAGTGATATGCTCAAAGCTACTGCTCTCCCGCCTCTGCCCATAAAAATAACACCAAGTGGATTTCATTTTCATTAGGCAGACAGGAAACTGTGAAACTGGATAGTTTGTGATTTCACGGAGTTTAAATACCCACTCTACAGACCGAATCCTTTGCATCTAAGATACCAAGAGAAAATAAGTCTCTGGCTCTCACGGTTGCATGCCGTGTAGAATGGACTTCTGCCCTGCACATTCACCCGTGAGTTTCTTCACTGTCCTCGACAGTCTGTCCATTTTATATATTAACCAAAAGCAAAGTTTTATCCAGTGTGTTAAGAGGGATGAGCCCTGCCTCTGGTGTGTGTGCAGACCCCGCCACGGACCTGAGGACAGAACTGACCGGACTTGGAGGAGTTGACTTGCTATTTTAAATGCGACTTCACACACGGCTCCTCTGAGCTCTCACAAGGGCCCCCAAAAAAGCCTTGCTCAACCCAGGCTAGTCCACCATTGTGCTGTTTCACTTTGATTGTGTTCTCTCCTAACAATGGACATCATGTCACAGTGACCTCATCTCCGAGGAACTTTCTTCAGTCTTGGCGATTAAGGAGAGAAAGTGACACGGCGCTGCTAGCATGTCTGCAGTTACACCGAGCACAGCGCCGAGGTGCTGAGGCACCGCCACAGTCACTTCACCAGCAATAAGAAAGGGTCTGAAAACCGAATGTTTTCTAGACTAGCATAAACAGCTGATTCACCGCACTTTCAC